GGGGCCGGGGCCGGGGCTGCGGCGCGGCCGCGGGGGCTCACCGGAGAAGGCGTTGTTGGTGTTGAGGAAGTAGATCTCCTCGCGGCCGTCGCCGTCGATGTCGCAGGCCGCCACGCCGATGGCGTTGCCTTGCCGGTCCCGCAGCGCGTAGTAGGGCGAGCCGCGCTCGTCGGGTGCCACGTTCACCAGCCGCCCCCGAGCCCGGTCGTACTTCAGCACCAGGTTGGGTCCGTTGTAGCTGCGGGGGCGGGCGAGCGTGAGCAGCCCCGGGGCCCGGCGCGGGCTCACTCCCACCTTGCCAAGCGTCGTGGGCCGGGCCTGGCCTTGCCACCCTGCGCCCGGGGCAGCTCCAGGGCCAGGAGCAAAGTGCCGGCTCTCGCCTGCCCGGCTGCACGGGAGGCGGTGCAGCCCCGGCCCTGGACATCACGGCGAGGGGAGCCAGGGGCCTTGTGCTGGCTCTGCGGGGGGCTGGTGCCCGCTTCTGCCCCATGGGGGGGTGCCTGGGGTCCCCACGAGGTCTGCCCAGGGCAGGGGGAGCAAGGAGCATCCTGCCCCCCCAGCCCCACTGCAGGCGCCACGTGCGGTGCTCACGGGGAAGGGGGGGCTGGTTTCTTCCGCTCCCGCGGGCGCAGTAATGACCCGAGGAGCCGGAGCGTGGGGAGCAGCTGCCGCTGCGGGGAGGGGAGGGGGGCCCAGCTGGGCTGTTTCACCCTCTTTTAACCCTCCCAGGCCTCGGCCAGGGGCAGTGGAGCCAGACCCCCCTGCCTGTGCCTGTGCAAGGCTCCAGGAGAGCCTCCTTGGCCCCACTCCAGCGTGTCAGGCAGGGCCCTGCCCCCTCCGGCGCTGCTGCCAGTTGTGCCCGGAGACTGCGACACCCCGAGACTGAGCCCTGGGGGCGCAACGGGGGCATCAGCTCGCGGCCCAGGCACTATGAGGTGGTGCTGAGGGCAGCGCCCAGGCCCAGGGCCCTGGTGCTGCAGGGAAGGCAGCTACAGCCAGACGGACGGGCTGGCTGCACATGCTCACCTGCGCGAGCTCGGGCACATGCACCAACATGCCCCTTTGCCAGCATCAGAACGTGTGCGCCATGGACCCGTGCAAACCTCGAGCACGTGTGCAGGCATACACGTGCAAAGCCTCTGCTGGCATCAGCACAACAGCTGCATGCTGCTGCACATCAGTGACATGCACAGGCACCCACAAAACTCTCCATGAGAGGAGTGCGCACACACGTGCGAGCTTCTGCAGGTGTGGGCTGCCCCGCATGCCCATGTGCACATGCATGTGCTCGCACACGTGCGAGCTTCTGCAGGTGTGGGCTGCCCTGCATGCCCATGTGCAAGCCCCTGCAGGTGTGGGCTGCCTCGCATACGCATGTGAGTATGCATGTGTGCATGAGTGTGCAGGCACAGACACTCCTGTCCTCCCGGCCATTGCATGCTGTTGCCGAGTCGCCCGGCTCCATGGCCACTGAGACAGGTCCAGCCCCACTCGTGGCACTGAGGACACAGGGAGCGCACGGCTCACTGGCTCCTGTCAGCCCTTCCGAGCCGTCACACCGATGACGGGCTATAAAAAACCTCCAGCCAATTAGCGGTGTGGCAGGAGAGCGCCGAGCCCTGTCAGTGGAGCCGAGCCGCGGCACCTGGGGGTCACACGGGCACCGCACTGCGGAGCTGGCCCCGGACACCCTCCCTGGGTGCCCAGTGTCCCTTGGGGGCATGAGCGCCAGGCTGCCAGTTCTGCAGGGGTCTGGGCACCACCCGCAGCCCGGGCCCAGCAGGCAGGAGCTGGGGCAGGCAAGGGCCATGTTGCCTGCTCCAGTGCAACCCCCCGCTTGGTAGAGACCCCCACTCCGGGAGCTGGGAGCTGCAGCCCTGCCCCAGCCCCAGCGCGCGAGGGTGACCTCTACCGCCAGGCTGGGAGGGGGCTGGGCAACGCTATGCAGATGCCGAGGCCTCATTACTGGGGGCTCGTTAGGAGCAGAAAGGTGCTGGCTCAGGCAGAGCTGGGCTGCGCTCCTGCCCCACCATGCGGAACCAGCCGCGGTCTGGCAGCTTCATCTGGGGGCGTCCCAGCTGGGGATGCGAGTGCAGGGAGCACACTTCCCACCTGTACACGCACAGGGCCTCCACGCACGCATGTGCATGTCACCTGCAGACAGAGCCAGCAGGCACCAGGCTGGGTTTTGCAGGGGTGGGGCGGGGGGGACACTTGGAGCTGGCCTGGCTGCCCCCACCCCTGCCTAGGCCCCTCTGCAAGGGGATCATCCCCGTAATGCATAGATTACTTCCCGACCTCGGGCGCTGCCCCCTTCCCACAGGCTCTGGAGGGGCCCCCAGTCCAGCGATGCCGAGAGCTGCCCGCCACAGGGAACTCACGCCTCCCGGACCAGCTCCTTGCGGGGGTCTGGGCAGCCCCAGCCCATCTGGCCCGCTCAGAGCAGTGCTGGGCAGAGGGCCCCGAGGAGCAGGGAGCCGGGAGCAGCATCGTGGCACCACGAGGCTCGAGCCAGGTCGCGGCAGGGAGGGCAGGAAGGGGAAGCCCGAGCAGGGAGCAAAGCCATGACTGCGGACCGGCTCCAGCACCAGGCGCGGGGGAGCTGCCCCATCCCATCCGCACCGCGCATGGAAGAACCCCGGAGGCGCCCACCCCCACACGGCCCCCACCGCCGGGCTTGGGGCGGGGAGGCCGAGGCGGCCCCAGCCGCAGGTACGCACCCAGCCACCACGATCTCGAAGTCGCCGTCGTGGTCCACGTCCGTGACGGCCACGCCGTAGTTGAGCTGCGTGGGGTTGCTGTCGTAGTCGGGCGGGAGGACGCGGCTGGTGACGGCCGTGAACATTGGCTCGCTGCGCTGGGACGCCCGGGCCAGCGGCAGCACCCACAGCATCAGCAGCAGCCTGGGCACCTGCAAGCGAACCCACGCGTGGCTCAGACCCGGGGCCGGGGGTGCCCAGGGGCTCCCTGCCCGCCGGGGCTGCTGCAGGGACTCCGTGCCGTGACGCAGCCTGCAGGGCTTGGGCTCTGCGCCAGGGCTGGATAACGCTGCCGGGTGCAATGCCCCAGGGAGCTGCAGTGGGGACGGAGCCTGCCCAGCTCGGACCGGCCCTGCATCCCAGCGCCGGCCATGCCGTGGCAGCTCCCCCTGCCCCTCCACGCTAGCTGAGATCTCCCAAAGGCAGGGCCCCATCTCCTCCAGCCCTTGCAGCCTCCCCTGCACCAGTTCCTGCACTGAGCGGCCCCATGCTCTCTCCCGTGGCCCAAAGGCCCCACCTGTAGCAACCCCCGGTTGTGCCCTTTCCTCGCGGCTCTCAGCTGCCCCCGTCTACGGACCCCCTCCTTAAGCCGTTGCTGCAGCTGCCCCTAGAGCTCAGAGCCCTGCGTCTCCTGCCCAGGAGAGCTGCCTGGGGGGCAGACACAGGGGCTGGGGCCAAGCAGCCGGGTGAGGGGCTGGCCTGGAGACCCCGGAGCACCGCCCGGGGAGACAGCTCCCTCGCACACTCCCGGTGCAGCAGGCACAAGGCCGGAGCACAGCGAGGCCGGGGAGACGGACGGATGCTCCCCCACGCAGCTCTCTCCCGGTGCAGAGGGGCCGGGAGCGCCAAGTCCCGGGCAACGTGCTGCGGGTCGGGCACAGGAGACGCAGGCTACGGCCTGGCAGCGGAGAGAGGCCACCGTCCACCTCACCCACCCGAGCCGGAGGGCCAGGCCCAGCCACGACCTCGGCCCCTGCCCCTGCCCTCTCCATCAGCTGAGCCCGGGGCAGGCTGGACCCCCACCCGGGGCAGGAGCTGGGGGCTACTCCCGGTCCCCGCAGGAGCAGGAGCCAGCGCAGAGCTCAGCTGCGCCGGGGAGATTAGCGGGCACTGACAGCGGTGTCAGCGCCGAGCGGAGCGCCGTGTCCTTGGCAACGCTCCTGGCTCCAGCCCCGCGGCCCCCCGGGTGCCGACACCCCAGCAGCCGCGGGCTGGGGGGGGCCCGGGAACGCAGGCGCCAGCCTGGCCCAGCCCCGCTGCAGCGGTCTGGTGCGCGCGGCTGGGGGGCGCCCACCTGGGCAGCGTCCCCGGGCGCGAGGGCACCAGTGCTGCAGCAGCCTCAGAGGAGCCCGGCCCGGGGTCTGTGGCCGGAGGGGACAGGCCTGTGCCCGTGGGGAGGGTCCCCTCGAGCAGGCGTCGCTGGAGCTCCTGGTGAAGCCGGGGGAGACAGACAGGCAAGTCCCTTCTCCGCACGGGCACCTCCACCCAGGAGAGGCCTTGGCCGAGCCCCGGCCAGGCCCAGGACACGGTTTCGTGGCAGTCTCACGACGGACCCAGCACCATGCAACTGGGGCCAAGCACCGGGGCTGGCAGGACCCTCAGCCCATGCCCAGTGGGACCCCAGCCCCGTGCCGGGCACCTGGCACAGAGGGAAACGTGGGAGGCCAGGCAGCTCCAACTGGGGCATGTGTGCGCACCCCACGTGCCTGCCCCCCCAGACAGACCCCCTCCCGTCCCTCCGCGCTGCCCAGCCCCTGCGCCTGCACCTGCACCCCGCCTGCCCGTGGCCCCGTGCCCCTCGTGCCGCCCGGCTCAGCGCCTGGCGAGGGTGCGGGTGCAGAGGGAGGCCGCCGGCAGATCTCTGCCAGGGCGGAGGCCGGTGCCTGGGCTCTGGCTTCCCGCGGTGCCGTGCTCTCTGCAGCTTGGCCCGCTCCCCTCGCTCCCCCCTCCAGCTGCAATCGAATCCTTCAGGGCTGGATGGAGCCTTTCCAGGAGGGAACAATGTTCTTGATTGGAGATAAATGGCATTTCCCTGCAGATCCGGCTCCTGGTGCCATGCAGGGGGCTCGCCGGGGCCAGGAGCCAGAGCCCTGCGTGGAGCCGCCCAGGAGCTCGCCGCGGGCGGGGGGCAGAGCCCCGGTGCCAGGAGCAGGGCAGCTGTGCCATACCTGGCAGGCCCAGGAGAGTGCCGTGGTGCTGCTCAGAGCCACGTCTCGTGGCATGACAACAGCCAGGCTCAGGTCACGAGCGCGTCTCCCAGCAGCCTTGAGGGCCGGGCGCTGGCAGCCTCGGGTGGTGGGCACATGGTCCTGGGGGGGCTAGAGGTGCCTCTGGCTGGGGGTCCCGTGGTGGCACGGCTGGGGTGGGGTGCGGTGCCACGCTGCGGCAAGGTGACCCCGGGCTCCCGCCTCGCCACGCAGCAGCAGGCCGAGGGCAGTGACTCGGCACCTGGCCCCCGAGCCCCGTCCTGGCAAGGCGGGGGGGTCCTCTGGAGACCAAAACCAGCCCACGATCCCTGCCGCGGGTTGGCGCCCATGGCACCGAGCCAGCCTGGCCGCCCCGCGGGGAGCAGGACGGTGCGCCCCACAGCCCCGAGCCGCAGCCCCCACCCCCCAGGCCGGGCAGGAGGGCAGGGCATGTCCCGCGGGCAGCGGGGCAGG